TTACACTACACTACACCCCACTACACTACACACTACGTTACACTACATACACAACATTACACTACACTACGCTACCTTCCACTACACTTCACTACATTACACTACACTACACTACAAATACAACTACTCCACTACACTCCACTACACTCCAATATACTCCACTGCACTCCGCTACACTAAATTACACTACACTCCGCTACACTACATTACACGACACTACACTCCATCCACAACACTACAACTACACTCCACTACACTAAATTACACTACACTCAATTACACTACACTACACCACATTACACTACACTCCACTACACCCCACCACACTACACTACATTACACTACACTACATTACACTACATTACACTACACTACATTACACTACATTACACTACACTACGCTACCTTCCACTACACTTCACTACATTACACTCCACTACACTACAAATACAACTACACTCCACTACACTCCACTAAATTACACAACACTACACTAGATGACACTACACTACACTCCACTACATTACACTCCACAACACTACAGCTACACTCCACAGATAGATAGATAGATAGATAGATGGATAGGTAGATAGATAGATAGATCGATAGATTAGATAGATAGATAGATCGATAGATAGAAGATAGATAGGTAGGTAGGTAGATAGTGCGAGAAAGAGCGAGAAAGAGTGAGAAAGAGTGGGAGACCTCAAGCACCTTTCAGTCCATCAGTGGATTCGCTCTGCCATCCCTGATTCACAACAACCAACCTCTCCTATAGGTTTCCTATTTTTGAAACTTCCGCCACCGCCTTGTGCGGTACTACTGGTAAAATCTAATAATCCTTACCTAGCAGGTAAGGAAACAAAAAATACATTTTTTTTGTTTTTTTATTTAAGGCTTCAAAAATAAATAAATAAATATTTTTTAAATAAATTTTTCCGAATATCCAATATGTTTTTTCAATTTTTTTCATTCTTTTTTAAAGAAAAAAAATCTTATTTTTTTAAAATAAATTTTATCCTACTAAATACCTAAAAAAAGATAAAATAAAAAATAATAAGCATAACAAAAATAAAAAATATTTTCTTTATTTTTTTATTTTCCTAAAGTATCAAAAAGAAAAAACTATATATATTTTTAAAGTTTCAAAAAATAAAAAAAATAAAGTTTTTTTTTTAGGGCTCCAAAAACATAAAAAAATACAAATTTATTTTCTTAAATTTTAAAATAAAAAATATTTATAAGGATATCAAATAGTACAAAAAGAACTTTCCTATATATATATACATATTATAAATATCTTTAAATATAAATATATATATATATTATATATATTAATATTGAAATTATAATCTTTAAAGCAACATTCAAATTATCTCAAAAAAATATTATTCGTATAAGGCACAAATTCAATTACCAGATCTTTGAAACCTTCAGCTTAACAACCCTTCCATCTTTGTAGAAGGGCGAATCAAAAATTGCATCACTGACATCACTTGATTATCTTTCTGGGTGGAAACCAGAATCATCGGCCAAGTCTCTTCAGATTCGCTTTGGACAATACCTTGCACCCAGCCAGCCTTCATGCCTTGGAAGGCAAAAATCGCTTCACCCTTTGCAAACCTTGCCCGGAGTTTCTCGCCAGGAACCACCTGGCATGATGCAGGCTGGGTCGATTTAGGGATGCGGAAAAGGCGGACAATATTTTGGACAGCAGACGCTGTCTAAAATTTGGTTACTTTCATGATCTTTCATGATCTTTCATGATCTTTCATGTATTCAAAATTCTTGCGACCATCTTCATGTGGGTCTAAACCATCCTAAACCCCTAAGCATCTGCAACAACAGTCGCCTGCTTCCCGGAACTGAGTTCAACTTCATATGCCAATGGATAGCCCTGTCTTCGTTGCACCGTGGCAGGTTGCCACTCATCATCCACTTCCACAGTCACAGCATCCCCTTGCTGAAAGGGTGGACGAATCCGCTCCAAGTGGATGAAGCGCCGTATCTGCTGGCGATTCAGCCGCACATCGTAAGTGGGCAGCGAGTCGGATGCCATAGGCTGGACAAATCCTGACCCTTCAATGGAGCCAGAAGTCCATTTTTGATGGGTCTCGGAAAAGAACTCAATGTATTGCTGATGTCCATAGATTTGATATGATCCTGGAACTTCATGGCTACTGGCACTTGGCTGTTCCGGATGTGGAAGTACTTCAAATGCATCAGGGAAGGATTGCATGGATAACATGGTGCCCGATCGTGGGAGTTGCACCTGGCTTCTTTCACTAAAAAACTTGGTTTTCAAACTCAGCTGCAATTGTTTCTTCGGCGACATCAGCTGCGCGATCGGCAGCGTTTGGTTTCCACCAGCCGCCCCTGCGGTTTGCGGCCGTTCAACATCCCATGTGATCAGGGTCTTGGAATCTGCATCGGCAACACCATGAAACTGCCCCAAGTCACGCTTCGGGCGTTTCACCTGGCAGGTTTGAAGCGAGGATGAAAACCCGATGCGGCATCATGCGTTTCAAATACCGATAGAAAACCATTGGATTTGTATGGATTTGTTATGTTCGCAGATAGCAACATTAAGAGCCGAGAGAATCTCCTAACAACCTGTGAAAATTCAAATCCCTTGAACAAACCAATCCCGCATGACATTTTCATCGGCCAGCTTTTCCATCCATTTCCTTTCATTTCCCATGTTTTCTATTCAGAATCGATTCAACCGCTTCAGAATGGCCTGGAAAGGCACTTCATGGGAGGATCCCTCGACATCCGACAACTTCATCTTGCCACCCACCACATGTCGCGACTTCACGGTGGTGTAGATACCGCAAAAGCTGCAACAGAGGCACAAACATGTGGACCCAATCAGTGCACCGAAACTCGGAGCGTCGAAACACTTTCCTGATGCTGGCTGCGGATGCTAAGCTATCTCGAATTCGATTTTTCATCATGTTAGAATGTTGCAATGTGCCCTCAAAGTTCATTTACTGAGCAAAGCTGAACCGCAATGAATAACATATCAAAATGCTTGCCACCAGCGCCCAGGAACCATCACGCTGCAATGTTTCCAGGAAAGTGCAAGGCCGAACAAGTGCGAAGACTGACAAATGACTCGTGGCACACCAGGTGCCACTGGTATCCTCAAATTTGCCAAGCCCCCTTTCGCAGTAAAGATTTCTCCCAATAAATTCAGAAATATGATTTCTGCTTGCCATTTGTTCCCATGCATTTTGGGGCTAGTCAAGGCCTTGCTAAACATATCCCAAGTATCAATCTCTCCAAATGCATTTTTGATCTCTTCCCTTGATGCCAGGTGGAGCCCTTCGTCTGACCACCCCTCATCTGTCAGGAAGGTGCAGGATGCAGGATCAACAGCTTCCTTTGAAGCGCGAAAAATCATCAGCCCTGAAAGGTTCGTCTCAGCTTCCTCAAAATCCGAATCCAACAGAGCAATCTGCAGCAATGGCGCTGCAAGGACCCGGACCTTGCCACTGGCAGTTTCCACAGCATCACCCACTTCTGGTAGATCTACACCGGGCAACTGCAGGGTCTTGATGGACATTGAGGTGAGCAAAGGCTGGGATGCTGATAATGAGAAGGATGGAACTGCCAATGGCAGGCTTGACTCGTTGATCACGCGGCTGCTGTGAGTGTTGAAACTGACCATGGACATGGTAAATGCAGCTTCTGGTGCATTCTCGATTACTGTCACTGCCTGGTTGGCGGCTCCAAGTCTGTTATAGCATAAATTATGATTTGTTGCTGGTTGCAGTGGGACTCGGCAAAGAAAAGGATGGACTCTGAGCAGCTTGACATGTTGGTTTGTCTGAACAATGGGGTACTCCGATTCTACAATCCTAAAAAATATCGCAACTTTTTCCATTTAATGGATGATGAATTGGGGCATCCCCTGGTTTTCGAAAAAAACAAATCAAGAATACTGCTCATGGTTCAGCACGTTTCGTCGAGAACATCCCTGATGGGATGGAAAACAAACCAGCAAATACGAAATATTAAAAGAACATCCTAAACATAGACAATCAAACGTGTTTAAATTAGATCAGCAGAAAATATCAAGCCTCCAAAAATATCAAGTGAAATCACCAACAAGCTGCAGATTCCGATGCGTTTGACGTGGTCAAAGCTTCCTCCACTTTTGACATCAGAAACTCGGTGAGCAGCAATTCCAAGCTTTTGACCTCAGTCCAAGCGATTGAACATACGGGTCAGTGTGGTCCCCAAACGACTATTAGGAAGCCCCAGGAAGCACTTTCTAAACATAGTAAGAAATGAATCCAACTGCCAGTATCAGGAATGTTATACGAAGTCGGAAAATGGGATCACTTGCAGCTCAAGGCACTTGCGTGGTGGTTGATGTAAAAGTAACTGTTGTAGTGTTGCCAATGGTCCACGTTGATGTCATGGATGATGTACTGGTGGACGTCCAAGATGTGGTGATTGAGGTTTTGGTCATGGATGTGGATGTCGATGATTCTGTCCTTGTAGTACTACTGGTTTCCGAGCTGCTGCTGGACGTGGATGTTGTTGTGGATGTCTGCGAGGTTGTTGATGAGGAAGTGCTTGTTTTCGACGTGGACGTTGTGGTAGATGTTTTGGTGGTTGATGAGGATGTCGTACTGCTCGTTGTGGACAAAGTTGTGGAACTCGAAGTTGTGGTGCGTGATGTGCTGCTTGTGGTGCTTGTCACAGCGGATGTCGATGTGCTCGTCATTGTTGAGGTAGTAGTCGTGTTGGTGAGAGTCGTGCTGGTGCTTGAAGAAGATGAACTTGATGTGGTGCTGCTGGTTTGTGTCGTTGAGGTTGAACTGCTTGTAGTTGTCAGAGTTGTGCTGGTGTTGCTGCTGCTGGTGGTTGATGAGGAAGTGCTGCTGGTGCTTGTTAGAGTTGTGCTTTGCGAGGTCGTGCTTGTTGTTTTTGAACTCGAGCTGGATGTCGATGTCTTGGTGGCATAGTACCACAGCTCACCTGGTCGCAGGGTGGGTCCAACTTTCTTTTGAATCAACCAGAGATAATCTTCCTCGCCCCAAAGGACAGAAAAGAAACAAATTACCCTCCGGGAATCTAACGCAATGGAGCACCGGCCCCTTATTGGATGATCCCACATTTTTCCAACATGATTCACACTGAAAGGTTTCCAGTTGAGTTGGATTCCTCTCTGGATCGTAACATTGCCCAAGTCACCGTTGTGAACCCACATTCGCCCTTGATCCAGTACGGCCACATGATACTGACGGCCATTGGGACCAGCATTGCTGCCATCCATCAACCGCCAGCGGGAAGCTGGAGCTGGCAGGGCCCAGTCCAAATCCAAAAGCCACAACTCGTCACCTGGTGGTCCCTAACATAGCCATCCCAGGAAGGGCGAGGGAGCAAACTGTGATAATGAAAAAAAAACGCCATAAATTCTTTGATGAGGAAAATTTAAATATAATGAAATACATATTATGAAACCTCACCAAACCAGACTCAGTATATATTTACAAAATCAAAAATAAGTCCGAGCAAAATCATATGTAAACCACCAAGCATGTCACTCTGGTTCTTCGCATCAATCCCTCCAAAAATCCACATCTGCCCAGGCTGTGATACAGCTGTCGCACTTTCTCTGGCTGATGGACCATTTGTCACGTCAACTTCCGTCCAAATGAAGGTGGAAATGTCAAAATACCACAGATCTGCCTGCAGACCCGCTTCAGTCAGTCCACCAAAGATCCACATTTTTCCAGCTTCCTGGACAGCCACATGGCTATAACGCCCTGAAGGTTTTACCAAACCAGTGGAAATCAAGGTCCACAAGGGGTCCCCTCCAGCGGTTAAGCACCAAAGATCGCTGCGAATGCTGCCATCATAACCTCCAAACATCCACAGTTTGCCGTCGCCTTCCACCAACGTCATACTTTCTCGGGCAGTAGGGCCTTCCAAATTGGACCAGCCAATCCAATTTCCACGCTCCATGTCGTAGTTCCAAAGCTCTTTACTCAAACCACTTTGGACCACGCCCCCAAAAACCCACATCTTCCCGCCCTGCATTACGGCCATGTGACTGAACCTTGGGCTGGGCCAGCTGCCATTTCCTTGGGCTTGCACCCAGCCGTCCAAGGCCACGGTGTCATAGTACCACAAATCATTCAGCAACTCACCATCATCATCACCAGCAAAAATCCACATCTTCCCAGCATCTAGAACCTGATTGCTGGTTTGCTCTCCAGAACCCAAAGAAATATCAATTTAGTTGGGTCTTATACTGACATCTTCCACCCCCAAAAATGCAACCAACAATTTCAATCCACAAAACTCACCAAACTCTGCACAAAGAACCGCTGTATGCCACCTCCTCTTGGAAGGTCCATAGGAAAACTGCACCTGAGTCCATGGTGACCAGCTGGCCCCCAGCCTTCGGCCGCTGTCATGGTGCTGCTCTGCCAAGATGTCGCCCAGAACGCCCTGTCCGGTGAAGCGAAGCGCGCGGGCGCTTGGAAGCAACAGCACCGTGGCGGCCCAGTCCTGGAAAATCTGTTGGGTCTTGAAAGCTTGAGAAAATCTCTGGATATGAGTCTTGGATGATGGTGAATTTGGTGAATCGTCATGGTCAAGGTGGAAGGGAAAATCGACCGGACTACGGGAAATGAATGGGTAGAGATTTCTTTGTCGGGAGAAATCACAGGGAAAACGGCATTCCCTGAATTTTCTCAGGGAGCATGTCTCCCAAGTGGAGCGACAGAGACTTCTCCATAGACCACTCAGGGGATCATCTCTACAACCAGCTGACATCCAGGAAATGTTTCCAATATAGAACCCTGCCTACACACACACATATATATACATACACTATATATGCATATGTATATATATATATATATGTATCTATGCCAACAAGTAACGAGCATAGAGCCCAACATGACTTTCAAACTTGGTGGTTCAGAGGGCGTCCCAAACTTAACCCAAATAATGCCCCAACAGCCTTCCCAGAACAGGGGGGCACCTGCTGTGCATGACTCTTCCAAAGGCTGATCCATTCAGATGAGTCCGAAACGAGCGCAAACAACTCCAAGTCGCCTTTGAATCGAAAACCTTGGACTTGCTCAAATGCAAACAAACAGAGAAAAGCCATGAAAAGCCTACGTTTCTCTGGAACTTAATTTTTTGCAGTGTCCAAAGTGGAAATCTCAAAATAAAACGGCGATGTTCTCGTGAGAATTGGACTTCAGAGACTTCCTGAAGTTAATTGAACGCTAAGTTGGTTTAGGGTAAAACATATCAGGAAACCATGGAAATTCCATCCAGCCAGTTCTGGGAAAATCAGCCATGTGCGCGCCAGGAAACGCAAACGCTGGCGGTCTTGCTGACTCGCCATGCGTGGGCTGTGGAAGCTGTTCTGCTGGGAACCGAAAGACGAAACCTAGGCTCTCCATGGCTTTCCCAAACATCTGGTGGAGCATCATTTTCTGATTTCAAAACGGATCGGGGCGCCTGGATTTTTGGAAAAAACCTTTGTGTTTGATGGGTTAAAAATCATTGATTCTCAAGAATTGCAGGAGGGGCATCCACTTGTCAAAATCAAGCTATAGCAGCATGCCATAGCATGCGAGGGATGTTTTCGGGGACTTGCTTTCTGGCTATGAATCACCGTCAGTCAAAGACCTTGATGCACCCTCCATTAGGGAATGGCCAAACAAGAAAGACCCTCCAATTTGAAAATTACCCTCTGGAAATGAAACATAGCTATGTGGAAAATTGCCCGCTTACAAATGATTTATCTATAACTCAGTGCGCCTTTCCAAAATTAGCAATGTTAAATTACCACATGGACGTGTATGCCAGCAAGATCATCATCCATTGCCACTGTAACCATACCCGTTTTTGGCCAATTGCATCATCATTTTCACCGGTGCGATTTTATCAAATCTGTCAATGGCATCACCCTTTTCCACCGCTTTCAACAAAATCGCCATCTCCACAAAACGCCCAGCCGCCGGGCACCGAATCTCCGCCTCGTCCTGCGAGGACCTCTCCGCGTCGCAACGCCAATGACACCTGGCAGCGCGGCAGCTCAGCTCTTCGTGGCGATCTGCAGCGGCCAGGAAACACAGGAAACACAGGAAACAGAACCACCATGGCGTCATGGCGGCACAAAATTTGGCCAAATTTGGCCAGACGGTGTTTCCGAAATCTTCAAAACGGGTCATAAATTACGGATAGGTTGACAATTGATTTTCTTGAATGATCTTGTGAAGGACGTAACTGGGTTGTATATGTTGTATGCGAGTTGAGGTAGAAAATCTGTCGACTTGAAGGATTTAGGAAAGAACATGTCCAAAGCTCGTTGTCGAATCAGCTCGGATCATCCAGGCCGTTTGGACTCGTCCTGACTCATGATTGATCCATCCGATCATCCGTGCTGATGCGCCTGGTGTCCTGTTTTTGCGCCAGGATGCAGCATTAAGAAGTCCATGTTTCCCATGCACAGCTAGTTTGGTTTCACAAGATAGACTCAGATAGACATTTATTTTTGAGGATTTCCCTTTACAAATGGATTATGACTTTGGGGATTTGTCCCAGCTTTGGTGCAGCATGCAGACCTGGCATTTTTTTCACCCATCAGAACCAGCTTTGGAACCTCAGTTTGCCACGCGAAAGTCAACGTCGCGAGAGACTGCAAGCCAAAGAGGAAAGATCCCTACTTGGAGGGTATTGGGATATCGTACCAGCAGCACCTAGACCCCAGATCAGATGATTTGAAAATCGATAAAAAAATACGATACACAAATGACAGGATAAAACCTGTCTATGTAGACAATCAGGACTTCTGTGTGCTTTGTGTTGCACGGAGCGCGCAGAAAAATGAAACATGTGTACATTGTAAGGTCTTAGAATGACAATATTCTGATGTTAACTTTTTTGAAACAACCTCAAACAATCCTTCGACTCCATAGACATTTTCAGTATGGTCCACATTGTCCACATTCAAGATTTTGATCCAACAAAAATCGATCCAACATAGATCAATTAAGGGATGGCCAACTTTGATCTATATCACCCAAACACATAGCCTGACGCATGCGCAAGTTGACAGCCAAGCAACGGGTGGGTGAGGCCTGAGCAAAGTTTGGGATCATTGATCCATGACGATCCATCCAAGATAACAGGAAAGAAAACAGCTGCGCTGCTCTAAGGTCGAACAAATTGATGGGATAAGGCGGATAGGGATCGAAAACAGTTGAAGCGCCTGCAATCCGAGCACTGGCAACTTTGGCACAGCTGGAGCAGCCTGCAGGATTTCACCAAAACTGACCGGGAATGGAAACGGGATGGAACGGGGTAACTCGCCCCTGACTTGGCTTTGTTTTGAAATGGGGACGCCCCATAAAATGGTAAGTTGAAAAGTTGAATGGGGACAATTATTTGTAACTGATTCGCGGAAACATCCAACAAGCACCTGCAAATCACAAACTATTTTTTGTTGAGGGATCTAGGTGATGAACTTTCAAACATAAGACGCAAATCAACATTCATCGAACCATCGTCGATGCATAGCCATCCCGATAAACATGGCTAAAAACAACAGATGTGGTTGCCATGATTGTGTAGATGGTCACTCGCACACAACTTTTCACCATTCAGTTTTGTTGGTTGCAAATGGTTGCAAATGCGAACGCGCAGGAAACGAAACCAACTCGGACAAATTCAGCTATCCCCATTGTCTCCATTCCTGGCAGAATCTTGAAGAAAGCTTGATGATTACACGAAAATAATCAAACATATTCTTTTAAGAAAAATGGCAGCTAAATTCTCTGTTTGAGGGTTATCAAATAACGTCAGCCCGTGGATTCACAGGCCTCCCGCCCAGCTTTGGCTCCCTGGAAGACACGACGGGCACGAAGTTTCTCGGGGACATCCGATGGAATGTCCTTAGCTGAAACATGCTGAAACCACCAAAATACGGGCACATGGTTGTACAAATCAGCGGCAACATAAAGACATATTTCATCATATTTCATCATCTTTAGATTTGTGGCAAGCTAAAGCAAAATGGGTGATTTTTGATTTCCACTGTGTCTTGCTTTTGTTCTGATCTTTTTTTTCACCCCGAAACACACTGGCATCATTGCTCCACCCCAGTGCGCAACGGTTCAACTCCCAGAGTCCGCTCCGATGGGCACACCGGGTCGTAGCTTTCCATAGATATCGGCTCGGACATCCTGATGGTCAGCATCCATACGCTCCATGGTATGGGGTGGTTTCATGTAGGAGCACCAAAATCTAATGGCCCATCATCATTTTGCCTATTGCAAATGGTTGCAAAGCTGTATTTTTGGGTGGCTACATGTCAAGAAAACCTGCACCTTTGGTTGGGAAGTTTTGGAAAAATACCAAGGCTCACAAAGAAACTGAGGTTCTACTTGGAGGTTGGTGTTGTGGTTATTGTCTTGAAATACCCACAGTAAAACGTTAGCGTTTTCATCCTTGAATACCCCTCTGGATGACTGGATGCTTTTGCAGGCCAGTTTGTAGAAAATGGGTGGGTATAAAATCAACATTTGGCTGCAATGCAGGGGGTATGAACTGGAAAACATCATATGTTGAGTATAGAATGGAGGTTTCCTAAACTAGGGGTGCCCCTATATCATGCATTTTAATGGGATTTTCCATTGTAGACAATCATTTTTGGGATCCACCATTTATGGAAACCTTCAAATGGAAAAACATGTTTTTATCCACTTCGCCGGGGCACCCTGGCTTCCCTATGCGACGTTACAACGATTGGTCCTGACCACTTACATTTTTTTGCTTAAACCAATATTTCAACTGGTAGATACGGTAGATAATCTTCCTCAAATAACAACTTTCTGAAATTGGGAGCCAAAAATCATGGAACTCTGGAACTCCCAGCTCAAAAGTCATTCCCAAAAGCAGTAAGTGTAACTTGCTGGGTTGCAAAAATGGAAGCCGGTCCTCTCTGGTGACTCGATCCGCTCGATCCGCCTTGAGTGCTCCCTGGACGAGTGACTTAAGAGTGACGAACAAGTCGGGAAGACGAGAATTTATGGGGCCTTCGCACAGAACTGGCAGATCATGCCACTATAGTCACTATAGTCATTATAGTACCAAATAGTACCATGCCACTATAGTCACTATAGTTATACTATAGTCATTATAGTAGTCACTATAGTACCAATTCGCGAGACGATCATTTTCTGTTTCAATGGCATATCACCTCGATGGAGAAGAGAACTGAAAGGATGCAGGCAAAGCATGGCAAAGCAATCCAAGCCTCAAACAACTGACCCTCCAACTTGCAACACTTCCATGAACCAGAAATGAGGTGATTCACCAAGCACTTTTTGGCCCCATCCCCAAAGGAACCAACCTTTCCAGCCTTGGCCTTCTTCACCCCATCCCTCTCTTCTCGGAAAAATCGTAGCAGGTAGCGCCAGAACGGCACAGGCAACGCCAGCAAGAGGCCAGCGAAGACGTATTTCCTGAAGCAAAGGCACCTGGATTTCGTTCATTTTTCGTTCATTTCTTGTGATCATCTTCTAGCCACCGGTACGATGACATCTTAGGATTGGGGTGAACAAAAACCGTTTGCCTCTATGAAATTTCCACCTTCTGGGCTCCCCCAAAATGCATAGATATATTCGTAAGCTATGGCTTCAAGGGAAAGAGGGACACAGAACCTATCATGGCTAGGTTTCTTGACCCACAGCCAGCTCTACCCATGATTTTCGCTGGTTTCCTCCGTATTTTGGCATTCAAAAGATCATCAATTTCCATTGATTTCCGTTGGTTTCCGAATTTTTGCATTGATTCTCAAATTCCAAAAGATAATTTTTCCATTGATTTCCAAAAATAATCTTGATTTCCAAAAGACACCGAAGCCATGGCAAGTTCTCCATTCCCAGCATCCAATTCTTGCGCCGCTCGATCCATGCATTTCGCAAGAGGCCAAGCTCCTGGTGATCCACCAGTGGTGTCGCGGATCCTTCCCTGAAACTAGGAAACTGGATATAATGTATATACATATATATATATATTATGTATATATATATATAAGTTGGAACAAGATATAAATTGGATCTTTCCATCTTCGTTTAAGCATTCTAATCATGTCTGAAAGTGATGGTTTCCAGCAAATCATGTATATAGCTTTCTTGAGAAGTGGGACATCACAATCTATTTCTTACAACAAAGACCGCTTTTTCGAGTATATACTTTTATTGGCCGGCACCGGGAAACAAAAATTGTATATTATGGCTTTTTCATAGAACAAACCAAACAGAACAAACACCAACCATAACTAACCCTAACCATACAAAAACATTTCTATCCCGTTATATCCAGATAGTACCCCTTATTCCCCCATGAGTATTCTGTTAATAGCCTTTATATCCAGTTGTATCATGTGTTCCTTTTTAAATCATCATTATCATCGATTCAGATATGGCCCCAATTAAATCACCATCATTAATTTCTCATCGATTATTCTGAAATAACCACAGTTAAATCACCAGAATCTCTGGGTTATAGGTGTATCACCAAGAAACACATGTTTTTTTTACACAATTGCCATAGTTCCAATTACCCTCTGGTAATTTGTTTCAGTTTGCGACGTAGAACATGGCCCAGTCGAAATAGTTGATTTGCCCATTAACAATGGTGATTTTCCATGGTTTTTTGTATGTTTACCATAGTTCCAATGAGTCCCAACTGCACCAGTCACTCGGCTCCAGGAAGAGCATGATGGATCCCAGCACTGCAGCATCAACTAGCCGCATCCACCAGGGCTGTGGTGCTCGCGGCATCCGAGGCCTGTAGGTTCTCCCAGGGACATGGGAGATTTCATGGGATAAATTTCATGGGAATATGGATGGACTGGCATACGTGTGCGGGATGTTTTTTGGGATAATTTCAGCAACTGACATGTTTTCTCCTGCGTGTCCGATACACAATCCTAGTAGAGGTGGCTTTCTGCGTTGACCCTTGGATGTCAACGACAGGAAAGAGAATCCACTCGGACTTTTTCTAAATTGATATTTGGTGTATTCGGTATTCGTTATTCATCATTAACCCACATTACTCCATGATCCAGGATCCACCCCTTTGGGGTACCCAGTATAGATAGCGAATGATACCTTTACAAACTGAAAGCAGTACCCTTTGCCACGCGGCCCATACATGTTTCAGTTTTGGGGGAGGCAAAAGAACGATGAACAGTCTGAGCATCTCCGATTCTCGCCTGCCATATCTCCCAAAGAGGCCCACGCGGAGGGCAGCAAAAGCAGCCAAAACCAACAGGTCCTGCGCGCTTCGTCAGGATTTGCCGCAATGGGGCCCTTCCCATTCGTTTGGAAACAGCAGACATGGATGATTCCCTGAGTTTTGCATCACACACGCCATGGGTTGCTACAGTTGCAACCCCGCCGGCATCGCTCCATAGTGACGCTGCCCACTTTGTGGTCCCCCGGTCGCACGAGCAGCAGAAAACCGCAAAGGGTGGTCCTGCGGTTCACCAATTTTTAGGTCTGAAATCAAGCCACACTTTGGAGCTTTCAATTCACATTTTGGGACTTGCACTGCCTCAAACCTTTGCGAGAAATTGCGGAAAAACCATACCATCTTCTGGGTTGACTGGGTTCCACAAGTGGACTGGCTACCTCGCTGCCTCTGTCCCAAGGATATTAGCTACTTCAGGAAACCTTGGAGGACTCAATTTTGAGCCACCAGCAAAGTTGAAATCAAGTGCTATTTCTGCCAGGACATGGAACAACAAAATGATCAACAAACAATCCAGTGATGACTATGATCCCGATTCCCACAGATTCCCAGAGTCCAGGGCAACAGGAAGTACGCCACCAAAATCAGCAATGGCGGTACTCGATACTCACAACTTCGGGTCTTCCAGCGCACCACTGAGGAGTAGTGGAGGGAGGATCCCAAACAGCACTGCCTCAGTGCTGCCAAGGTTTACATGTTTTTCGAAGTGATGCATGAGGAAAGAACCGTTAAAATCTGTTAAAACATGCAGGCGTTCAACGGACAAACATGACGACCATCTCTGCAGCATCTCAAAGTGACTGGATCCACTCCCCATCTGTTTCTCCAAGGTGCAAGATCGCAACTCGCCTGAGGATGACCATCACATCATCATTTGGAAACCTGTCACTTCGCGAGGGTGATTTTCCCTGAAGATCTGAAGATCATTGAAGATCTGAAGATGTAGATTCGTGAAGGGTTATCCAGAAGGATCTGTACCGTGGCCACATGGCCACGTGGCCAGTCGGTGGTAAACATCCTATGATTTCTAGGCGTTGAGCCACGTTGAGCCATTGTTTTGGTGGTGCATGATTTCACCACGGTTGGGTGTGGAGAAGAGCGCCAAAGGTCCCTTGGTTTGAACTGGTTCTTTAAATGTCAACATCACATGATTTTAGGTCAGTAAGGATATATCTGGACATTATACTCTTCATATACTCGGATGGACACTTAGTGATGGTTCAGAACCAGAGGCGTGACCCAGTTGATGTACAGGATATCATGATATCCCTTGTATATGGTGTTTCTTAAATTTTGGGCCCCAAAAATCAACGAAACTGCTTGGTCAGTTGTCAAAGGACAAACATTTTGGGGATTCCACGTTCCATTTTTTAGAAACAGCATCACACAGATTTTCATGTATCCCCAATATCAGTGAATTTTATGAACCTCACAACACCAGGATGGTTCTTCTAGTTAAACCAGGACATCCAATCCCAATCCACCATTCTGGACCGTCCATCAATCTGCGGCAAGTGCAGATTGAGCAACGCGAAGAAGAGCCGTGGCGCTGTCAGCAGCAGTTGAACGATTCCCAAGGAACCTGGCCGAAACTCTGGTTTTCCAGGCTTTTGTGGATGACATGACAAGGATATGATATTACGATCGCCGGGACTTAGATCTATGGGCATCTTCCCTCTGAAGCCAAGCAGCTGTCATAGGCCAGCGACAGCAAACGTCGCGCGGAGCCCAAAGGCCGCGCCAACACGGAGCGCCTCTGACGTTCCAATTTCGCCATAAAAACATCTCAAAAACTAGGGAAAATGTTGGGAACAGATTCTAACTTGCTAGATTTGGGGGGTAGCCTAATTTTGAGGATCGACCCTAACTGCTCAGCTGGTTTCTACCAGCACTTGGAAACTCTGGGGACAATTCCTAAAATCAGGATGCGTCAGCCTAACTGGGGTTTCTTGCAATGGAGCGCAACATTGGATGCCTTGATATTTTAAATGCGTATATAACTTATATAGTTTCCTTATATAGTTTCCATCCATTTTCCACTCATCTGGGGTACCTTCATTTTAAGAACCAGCTACCCTCATTGAATCACTGCTTCCAGGGCACGATCTTCCGCTCAAGATGTCCAGTCCTGCCGCAAGACTTCTGAGCGAGCTGCTAAAACATCAAATTCGGAGATTTCCCATTCAGGATCTCATCCACTCCATTTAATTAATCACTTAAATTTCCTATGTTAATAAAGGGGAAATTTAAACATAGGATTCCACCCTCCGGTAATCCCTGTTAACATCGCAATGGAAAATCCCCTCCATTTTTGATGGGAATTGAGCCATCCAGCAAGCTGACCCGGTACAAAAGCTATGAGAATGGAACGAGAACGGAACTCGGCATCGCAGTCCTAGCAGTTCTGCAAGCACCAGCACAAATAGCACCGTGTGAGAGAGGGAGTCCACCATCATCACCAGCCGATATTGTAGCGAAGCCTAGATTGAAATCAAATGGCAAATGACTGGCAATTTTTCACAGAAATTTGGGTCAGGAAAAAACAAGATTCTCATGAGATAGGAGAAAAACAGCCCGTCAAGAATCTGCAAAACAAATCATCTAGTTCACATAGATGGTGTCAAGAACTCAACCATCAAATCCATCAAACTGCAGCCCTGAAAGCCAATCGGTTCTGTTAACTGCGATATACTGCAGTTCTAAGTTCAAAGTTGGCACCTGAGAACCAGACTAACCATTTCGGAATGTATGCAAAGAAATTTCCTTGGAGTTGGCTTGCTGGGCAACCGCTAAGAAACGACAACTATCCTACCCACCATGGAGACAACATCGTAACATGGATATGTAACGTTTGTTTTTCTTGGTGTGATGTCCTTAACTATCACAACATATCCCAAAATCCAACAAAAAATCAGGGGGACCCGTCAATAGCTACCATGAAGCAGGCCATGAACCAAGAGCAATGAAAGGGAAAAATTATCAATTCGCTTTTGAAAAACGATAAGATGTTCAGCTAGTCTATTTCAGCCAAACCATCCTAAGATTTAAAGATATTTAAAGGCTTATGGGAGGATTTCCACCTACTTCCAGTTGCCAATGGATTACACGCCACACATGTTGTGGTCTATTTGCCACACCGGGGTCAACATTTTAAGGGTAAACATATGTCATTGTCAATTCCTGCTGGCACCACATAGATTTGAGCATCAAATGTAGGTCAGGCTGCCTTCCCAACATGTGGAGGTGTTTCTTTCAGAACTTGGAACTGCGAAATCATCATGTCAATCATCATTTCCAAACATACCCTCTGTTTATTTGACATAGAACATGTGGAAGATGAGCCACTAGATGATAACAGCCATTTATGATAAACATGAGCCATTTACCTATACAAACCCAATGATTTCCAGCAAAACCATGAGCCTCCACACCTCCCATGGCAGCGGAGATTCTCAGCAACCCATAGCGTGCAGGTGGATTGTGGCCTCGACGTTTCCGGCCCTTCCGTTTCTTTCGAGGCCAAATCCTGGGCGGAATCGTTGGCTCAAGCGGTACAGTTGACCCTCTGGTAAATGTTAACAAAAGACGATGGAAAACCACCATGTTTTAATGGGTAAATCGACTATTTCTAAATGGGCCATGGCTTCAGTAGCAAACTGTAACAAATTACCAGAGGGTATCTTCATATCTGTATAGACGTGATATACTGATGGGAAAGTAATGATGATGGGAATAATGACGGGTTTTAGATTTAGCTATTCATTCCCATCATCTATTGATGGATACATATTGAATGATGATAAAATGACGGGAATCATGATAAACATTATAGATGTTCATTTATCAAAGATGCTATAATGATGCTATGAGTCTTGTTTTTGTTAATGGCTGTTGATCCATCTCATATTCCCCAAAATCGCCATTAATCAGTTCCCTTAAAAACACCAAGGCATTGGCGCAGCAAAAAAAACACCGAGACCTTTTGGTGAATCTTCGCAGTGAATTGGTGGATGATTGTTGTATCTTCTTGCAAGACATTGAAAATCAAAGGACATCTGGACAAGAAACAAACCCATGTTGCAAACAACCCAATTGACCCAAGGTTTTACTGCGTATCATCATCATCATCCAAGATTTCACCATCACAAGAGACTGCTATCTCAACAATGTCACTACCACAACTCACCATCTAACATCTCACTGCCACCGCAAGCACTATCATCTCTATCTGCAAATGATTGTAAATGCACATCATTTCTATACACAGATGATATGTATATATATATAGGAACCCCCAAAACGATAGAAAAAGTGAATCTTCACTCATTCAATGGGGATATACCAACTTCTATCACCCAATTTTTGACCATGGCGCTGAGTGAATATGTCAATGCCCGGCTTGGGCGGCTTCGGAGCAGGGCTGGGCACAGATGCTTTGCTGGGCGCCGGCACCGCCATCGTTGGGTTTCTGGAATTTCACCAAGAAATGGGGATTTCATGGGATTTTGTTTGCAAAACTGAGGGAAGATGAGGGGTCATGTCTATTTCATGGAAGATTTTTTCATGCCGCGACAAGATGATATATGGATAAATATGGATTGTCTCAAAATGGGGGATTCATCCTCAAACGAACCCGTATTCAGAGTTTCAACATTGAGATTTTGCAAAGACAACAGTCTTGGATAATTAAAACGAATGGGATTGAACAGATTGATAGAAAAGCATGTGTGTATTGAATTAAAGTCCACAGGTAAACATGACACTTCCTTGTCCATGGCTCAGCTGTCTTGGGATGCGTCATGCGTTCAAACACTGTGCTTGCACAGCCAAAGGAATCCAGAAACATGTGCATACAATCGAGCGTGACCAATACCTTCTCTGAGATTCATCACTGGATTCGACAATTTCACCATAGCCAGCGAAGCAATCATCGCAACGCAGAGCATTTTGTTGAGAGCACAAGAAAATTGCATCGGGGAGGTGAGAACCGAAAACTTCAACATATCAACAGATATTTCCGTGCAACATGCCTGTGAGCCTCTAAAAAGTGTTGAAAATCAACTTGGTTGGGATACTGATCTAGAGAATCCAGAGGTTGAGCAGGAAAAAACATCACTGGATCAAATTTAAGGATATTTAAGGTCTCTTTGGCCCAAGGCAATTTGCAGAAACTGCCACCGTGTCGCTGCACAGTGGTCATTTCTTCATGCCGAACAGGTGGAAATCTCACGGATTTTGTGGACACCACTTGACAGCAGGTGTCAGGTTGAGAGAGCGTGAGAAAGCACGGTGGATGTCGAAACGTTTGCTGCCACAAATTTACCCTCTGGTAATGACTGTTACATAGCTATTGAACATGGCCCATTTAGTTCGTTGGTTTACCTATTAAAGATGGTGATTCCCCACAGCTATGTTTGTTTACCAAAGGGTAGACATCAGGTCTGCAAGAAAGAACCAACTTCGATCTGTGACCGTTTCAGTCTTGGGGTCAGAAACAATCTGAATAGCTTTGCAACACGAGAATGCGGTTGCCTTTTGGCTTATCCCGACCAAAAACTGGAATCATGTCGCGGCATATCCCATGAAGCCATGGACGCTGGATGATTTTGCGGGGCCAGAAACACCAAAATCTGGTGGCTTATCATCGGCGGACAATCCCGAGGGAAACTTGCGGAGAGTGCCGTGACCCTGAGATTCTTATGGTTTACCAACAACGAATAAACGTGATAAAAGACGTGTGGCCCAGCTCCTGCCATGTAATCTGTTGGAAAACACCTACTGAATGTGGGAAAATCTGCTTGAGTCGCCTCTCTCCCTTTCTCACACTCAGGCAACAGAGGGTGGAGGATCACTCCTCTTCCTCGCATCCTTGTCGACCCTGGAGCGCCGATGGACATCAATATGCCAGGGGGCTACAGGCTATCGCCGTAAGGTCCTTAAGGTTGTCTAATCAATGGGAGATCTCCAGGATCCTAAAATGGAGGTACTGTACTATATGAGTCCATATTTTGGGGGTATATCCCCTGAAATTTAGGCCTTCAACTAGGCCAAAAATATATGGAATCGGTAGCTCCAATCAATCGGATCCTGAAGATCTCCCATTGATCTAATGTCTTGGAGAAAGCATTGATGAACAATCCCTGTCACTCCCTGTCACCCAGTCGGCCATTCCTGGAGAGCATGAAATTGTAGTTCTCCTGCCACTCGCGGGATGGTGGGATAGATGGTAGGATAAAGATATGGATAAACAAACATATAGATAGATCAGTGTATCAATGAATATGAGTGAATATGGATAGATATGGATAGATAAGGATAGATAAGGATAGATATGGATAGATATGGATGCATATGGATAGGTATGGATAGATATGGATAGATATGGACCTGGATAGATATGGACAAATGGATATGGATATATCCTGTCAAACTTGCAGATTTGCGTGCTTCCCTTTCAAAAGAAACATGGATCTCGGTAAGATCTGGTGGTTTCAACCCAGCGCCCCAAAACTGTCTCACACTACAGGTGATCCTCCCCAACTGACTATCCATTGATCTGCTGAGTGAAAACAACAATCTTCATCAGGTATTTTTCCGCATGCCAAATTTCTAATGTTGATCATCATTTTTCGTAACAAACAACATGACCATGTCGTGAAGTGGAGGCAATTTGCATGGCATTTCCATGGCATTTCCCAAAGGCACCAGCCCTTTTGAAACCAGCGCTCGAACCTCGAAGTTCAGAAGTCCAAAGAGCTCCACTTTGGCTCCGTCTCGGAGGTTAATCCTGGCGAGAAACTAAACCATCATTGGATCATTGGTAGATGACTATATGATGATTTAATGATCACTTAGATTCTGAAGATTGGAGACTTAAGTAGATGATTTTTAAATATTAATATATTTTTTATCCCCCATCACTCAGAATCACAGATTCTGATCATTCAATGAGATGGGATCCCAATATAGTCATCTGCCCAATTTGATCATCTGCCGGGATCCCCCACAATCCATTTCATGATCACACAATTTCCATGGATTTGATGATCAATCCATCAATTTGAAGTGCTAAAATTGGACGTTTTTCTGGACGTTTGAAAAGCTAAGAAAATCATCCAACTTTTGGGGAATTGTCCATTGCCATGCTGCAGATTGCCGGAGGGTATCATTGGATTAATTAGGGAAATTTGGGGTCCCTTTTCATTGGGAGTCCCTAAAAAATCCAGCAACTTTTGGATATGTCAAATTGCCAGAGGGTATCTTATGAACGATCTAAATTATAGACCTGCACTTAGGACTTCTGGGATAATTATGGATAATTAATACTTGGAGGATTTTCCTTTGCAATGAACCACATATGATTGGGGAAATCAGGGATAAAGACGACAAACTATTTCCGATTATTGTCATGAAAACTCCTGATTGGTGGTTGAGCTACCATCTGAGAAAAACACCTATATGATCTATATTTGTCATGGGGGATCATCTTCCCATTGCTATGGGACAAGAAACATCACATGAAACCACCAGCTTTTTTTCGTTTTCCCCATGGACATTGCGGAGAGGACAGTATCACAGGAACATGTGAGGCACTGAAATCTGTCTTCCCATGGGCGGTAAAGTGTGACTACACGTTCATGTCCTAGTTTAAGAAGGGATGGTCAGCTGACACCCTCAGCACCTCATATCTGCGCAGTAGCCAAAGAATCGCATGCCGTACTTCATCTCATAAATTTCCTGTCTGCATCAGCTGGTGTTCATCAGTGAAACTGCTTTTATGATAACACTGTGCAGGGTTCTAGACAAATCGACATCAAGTGGGGCTCAAAATTCGGCACGCCAAACATTGGATAGTCAGTACTGCAAGCAAGAAAACACAGGTACAACACAGGTCGCATCTCAGATATTCACCTCCTACACCCTATCAGGAAGGTATCTGCATTCAGAGTGGCGCAGCAATTCTTTCATGTGCTAAGCCCAATGATCAACTTCCCATTTGGGGATGGTTTATACCAACCATAAAACTGGTGACTGGGGGATGGTTTACGGCAAGTGGTTACCCCATGAAAAATGGCCCAGGGCCTGGTAGGAGAACTCTGTGATGTCCTTTCCATCAAGGCCTCACCCAACCCCGTCAGCCCGTCAGTGTTATGTGGAACTCATTCAATCTCCAAAATATGAGTCCATTAGTCCAAATTTTATATGTCCAAATTTTATATGACTCCATTAGTCCAAATATGACTCAATGGAAAACGCTTCATTTTGACCATCATTTTCCCTACACCTGCGCTACGAAAAAGTGGCCATGAATTGGTGGTAAATCCCTCGAAAAAAACAGTGGTGCTAACTCGACCTCCTGTCACTGAGACTCGCTGGTTTGTGATCTTGTACCTGGCGCACTTTTCGAGCTAAGCTGAACGCGGTGAAAAATCCATCTGTGACTGGATCTTTGATGGGGTTATTAGATACTTTCTAAGGGGTATACACGCAACAAAGTGCCATTATCAAACTTGCAAATCTGGGCAAAATCAAGTTTTGCTTTTGCACAGTCGCACTTCACTCGGAACTGACGATTCACAGCGGCAATGAAGGGAATAATCCTCAGAGACAACACATCCCCAAGCGGTCTATCACTGCCCCAAGAGCAGTCTCCAAATTTGTCGTGGACCCCAAATTCTGCTGGACACTTTTGCAAACTCCTTGACATCTTGGACAGGACCCAGGATTACTTGGGATCTGTCAAAATTGTTGAAGCAAACATTGATGAACCAGTGCACAAAAAATATGGCTGCAAATGGTGGATGTGAAATCATGTATTTTGGAAGATTTTGGACATGTGCAAGCAATTCAAACGGCACTTTTAGATTCGATTCCGAACATTTTGTGACACAGCCAGCCACTTTGACTCATTCTCTCGTTCGTATTCAAAAATAATCTCACGAACATGAGGGTTTGTCTGAATCTGGGGTAGATTCGGGTAGATCAAAAATTGTCATTTTCATCGGATCCGTATGATGAAACATGATGAAACATGCAATTTAGCTTTTCGAACTTTTGAGACAACCCAACACTACCTATCGCTGTGGCCCTGAGGCCCGGGCCCAATCACCACGAAGCAGGACAAGAACGGAGCAAACATCTGGCAGAATGTCCAAGGTAAACCAAAATGATATTTCTTTTTGCAGTTTGTTGCATTTTTCTGAGCAGTATCGATTCAGTTGGGTTTAAACAATTTCTGAACAAAACATGACAAAAGTAAACATCCGCCGGCCCTTGCAAGAGGCAGCGCGTCAGGGCAGAGAGGCAGCGAGCAGCAACAACAACAACAACAACAACAACAGCGACAACGACAACGACAACGACAACGACAACGACCAACGACCAACGACCAACGACCAACAACAAATAAAAACATCACCACTCCTACTTACTACTACTGCTACTACTACTACTGCTGCTGCTGCTGC